GACAATATAGGCAGAGGGTGTGGGTGAAATGTTTGCTCTTCCATGGGAAGATATAACACACAGCTCACAGCTCTAGATAACATATATTTAAAACACGGTAAAGTCCCGGCTGACAAACTCTCCACATGTCAAAGGGTGGTCTCTGGCCAGCTGGAGATGCTAGGAAGTCCTAGGAGAGACAGCAGTCTGTACCTGCCAATATTCAAATGGGTAAATAGCTACCTCAGGCAAGCGCAGGCTGGTCAGGCAAAGACTGAGCCAAGGCAAAATAAACTGATGGCTGTAACCGGACCAGATCACCAGGAAGCAAAGGAGACCGGCATAATTAATGCCAACCAACACCCATTTACAGCTACCAGATCCTGTTGGCAAACGTGATTTATTTTTGTGTGGATTGTGGGCTTGACTGATAAATGAACCAGCACCTGTGCCATTCATTTGAACTCAGAGGATGTAGGACTTGGTACCACTTCCCATTTTTAATCAAGAAACTACAACTCCATCAAAGGACAGCAGCACATGTTTGAAGTCACTGTTAGCTGGCTCGGAACAAACCCATGACCGGGGGTCCACGGCAAGGGACAAGATCTCCAGAGATCTGTGCACCTCAGCAATAAGACCATTGCTGAAATAAAGCATCCATTTGTGCTAACGACAAGTCAGAGAACTTTCTAAGCTGAAAACAGGTCAAAAAAAAAAGGTTCAAGAAAAGACACAGGAATTAAGATTGGAAAATATGCCAGTGGAAGACTTTACAACCTCTGTGTATTTAGCTTATCAAAGAGAGAGGCAAGAGGTGACCGCATCCTAAAGTGCCATAGCTGACAAGGGGAACAAAGCTTGCTCCAAGCTAGTGGCCAAAGAAATAACATTTCCCTGGCTGTAAATGGGAGCAAGCCATGTCTTTCTAGCAGCTTATGGAGCACTATACCTCAGCTCCCCGTAGATGGGGGGCCAAGGTGTGGAGGAGCGTGGCAGCCCATGCCAGGCAGGAGCCAACATGATAGCCACGCAAATCCTTCCTGGCATCACAGAGCCCATGCTGGCCGCTGCTGCTCGAGATATGCACTGTAAAGCAGTGATTCACAAGCCCATGGAGGTGGGGAACATCCTAATACAGAGCCCGGAGGAAGGGAAAAAGCTGGGGGTTTTGCTGAAAGTTGGAGGATGCCTTTTCAAGACCAGCTAAAGAGATTAAACCCCAGTTTTCTAAGTTAGGCAGAGTCAGAGTTTGGAACCAACCAGCCCGTGCTTTGGTTCAGAGCAGGGTGCAAGGCAGCCAGGATGATGCTGGCATTGCTCTCCTCCTTCATCCCTCCACTTGCACATCCTCCTCGGCTGCAGAGAGCACAAAACTGACCCAAAAGCCCACAGAAAAGGGCCAGGTTGAGCCAGTCACTTCTAGGGTTGCAGTGGGAGACGCCTGCCAGCTCCACCTCAGATGCGATTAGCCACCTCTCCAGCTGCCAGAGGAGCCCAGGGGTTCAGAAATCCAAGCCTGCCCACCCACCTGGCAGTGCCCACTAGATGCTAGCACAGATGCAGAGAGATGCAGGCATACACAGTCCACCATGGAGAGCTTGTTACACCCAAGCCAGAATAAATGCTTCTTGAAATGGCAGAAGGTTACAGGGGAATAACCCACTCCCAGAACTGTGAGAAAGGTTCCCCACCAGGGAAGAGCTTTGCAGGAGCTCTCCTTTGCATCCAGGAGTTGGGACTGCCAGGTCTGACCAGTAGCTGTGCCGTGGGGCAGGAGCGTATGCCCGGGGAAAGCGGGGCATACCTGCCTGGCAGCAGGGAGGACCATCAGCAGGAGCTATTAGGGAAGAAATGCTTTCAAGGGACACTAAATAACCCCAGTCTATGCCTTAAATAACCCGCGCTCAGAGCAATGAGCCAGCATACTCTCCTGGGTTTCTTCAAAGGCGATTCTAGCCAGCAAGTTGCTGCTGCTGCCAGGCTGCCATCCCAGGGGACCGATGTTCTCTTACCTGCAGGGGATGGCTGCAGCCATTTCCCCATAGTTCCCAAAAGCTATGTCTGCACCCAAAGAGTCACGGAAATGCCAGCTCCTGAGCCCCGTAAGACCCAGGGGGGCAAGAAGGCACACTGCAAGGGAAGCCTGACCACAGTGCCTCCTGCTCAGTGCCAGCCCATCTCCCTTCCATCCCTAATAAAAGAGACTCTACCAACCTATTTATTTTTTTAAATTATTGTTATAAATTTTATTTTTAATCTTCCCTGTCCCTCCAAAGCAGCAGCAGACCGGGACACACAAAGCCCAGACTGCTGAAAGCCAGCACCACTGCACCTGCACTGCCCAGGACACCTGAGCCCAGGCATCCCCAGTAACTTCAGCACGGCACCAGCAAGTCCAGAGGGAGCCACGCTCCCTCTCCACAGCCACCAGCCTTTGGCCTCAGGGGCCTGACATCCCCAACAGTCAGCCTCAGGGGATGCCGTGGGAAGGGCGCTGGAGGGCCACCCGCAGTGGGGCTTCCTCCAGCTCTGCCCCAGAATTCCCCACCACCTCTCACAGTCCTGCTCCCTCAGTTGGTCCCCAAACCCTCAGCTACTTCACCCCACACGTCCCCTCCAGTCCCCTTCTCCTCCTATTCCCTTTCCCTATTTTTCAGCACCTCCAAAGCTTTCTCCACACTTCTTCCCCACCTTCCACCCCTCTCCCTGCCTCCTCCACCTCCCTCTCCATCCCCTGCTCTCCCACACCTCCTTCCTATGACTAGATAGCCATGCCATCCTCCCTCCACTTCAGCTAATTCCCTCTCTCCATGGGAGCCAGTGTTTCATCTCTGCCACTGAGCCCCCTTTCACGCATCCTGGCTTTTGCCATCCCACCCCCTTCCTCCCTGCGGCCGCCAGGACGGCAGCAGGGGTCCCGCACCCTCGGCAGGCCTGACCCCTGGCTCTCATTAACAGCACCCTTCTCAAAGAAGGCGCAGCGTGAAATAAATAAATAAAGCAAATCTCCGTCTCGCTGCTGTGTCGGGTTGCTTAAGGGAGCCAGGCGCCGGGGGTGGGATGAAGGATGCTATTTGGAGAAGCTGTCTCCATGGCAACCCCCATTCCCACCACCGAGCGGGCACAGGTCACCTGTTTCCATGAAAGTTTCCCCCCCTCCCTCCTGGTCCCTCCACCCCAGGAATTGCCGGCACAGCCCCAGGGGCACACACGGTCCAGCCAGTGGGAGAAGCATCAGGGATGCAGAAGCATCAGGGATGCAGAAGCAGCAGGGATGCTGTTACCAACGGCCTCCGAGGTCCCCCATGCCATGTCAGAAAAGGCCAGGGCATCCCCACAGTGCAGCACACAGGGAATGGCAGCACCCACTCCCCTCTGCCCCAAGGCAACCCCGTTGTCTCCCTGCCTGTGTCCCCACGGTCGGTCTAACACGGGTGTGGGGGCCACGCTTTGCTGCAGGACTTGGGGATGGACACAGGCACGTGCCCTGACACAGGTGCTGCTGGGACTGGGGCAGAGATCAAAATGTGTCCCCTCCCTCCGCAGGCAGCCCTGGGTGCTGCGTTTCCATATGATTTCAGTTATTTATTTTAATTGAAATCGGCCGCTCCCATTAAATGCTGCCAGGTGCTCCCAGAACAACCCATGGTTCCCTTTTTAGCTCTAACAACTCCATCTCTCATGCGACAGATGCGCTTGCCGGGACCTTTACCCAAGTAAGGCAGCGTCAGCCCCGCGTCGCCGAGCATTCCCACAGCCAACCTGATGCTCCCAACCGTGCCAGCCCCCTCCCTGCATGCCCACGCGTCCGCCGCAGGGCTGGCAACAGTGCCCAATACCCCCCGCACCAAAACAGCCGGCAGAGCTCCAGGAAGAGACATAGAGAGGATGGAGTGAGAAAAGGAGAATGGGGAACTGGTTCTGCACTCCACCAGCTCTCCAGCACAGGGGGAGCACAAGCAGCGGCGGTCTCACCCACTGCCGGCATTAACACACCTTCTGCCGGTACCAGCAGTCAGCTCCCTAAGGCCGTGGCGGACAAGAGGGTCAGCAAAGAGCCCCTGACTGAGGTTCTGGGGTTGGCACCCGGGCAGCCATCCTGCGGCACAGCACAGGCTGGAGGGATTTGCATGGTTCCCCCACGGGGCTGGGAGTTTCGCCAGGAAAAGCAAGTTTATAAATAGTGCATTTCAACACGAACAAACGAAAGCGGCAGAACTCGACAGTCAGATAAGCCAGGGGCTGAGCGCTGGCCCCTCCCCAGCATCCTCCCCCACCAGGAAGGATGGTCCCTTCCCTCCATTGCCCAGCTGGCCAGGACCATCCTCGCTCTCCAGAAAGCCTGGATCTGGAGCTGCCTGTGTCAGATGTGCTGCTTGGGAACACCCTTGCTGCAGCTGGTCTGGCAGCCAGAGCAAGCATCAAAAAGACCAGAAGCAGGGGGGATGGCCACCTGCTCCGCTCGGGGGCAAGGGCGAACACAGCCTGCAGCAGCCAGCTGCTCAGCCAGGGCCAAGGGTCACAAATTTCAATGTATTGCTTGAAACCAAGTCTTCATAAGCCCACAGGCCAGAAAGTTTCTAACTTCTCCTCCCACCCCTGCAGAAGACAGCTGCCCCACCGGCGAGGCTGGCACTTGAAACAGAAGTTTCACGGCACGATGCATTACACCGAAGGGGCACGTACCTGCCAGATCCTAACAACAAGCAAGACACTCAGGGGGAAAACCAGCTTTTATCTCTGCATTAAGGAGAAGAGTAGCGAGCCGTCAGATGAGAACTTGCTTCTCGTAAACAAAAAACACCAGAAAAGACACCCCTGCGCCTGTGGAGTGAATAAGAGGACATCCCTGCTGGGGAACTACCTGCCAGACTGCAAAAGGAGAAGATCTTGATGGTAGTGCCCAAGGGAAGACATCAAGAGATGACACATCAGAGCAGCCCCATCAGCTGTCAGCAAGAGAAGCCTCTGACAGTCCACCAAACACATGCAACACTCTTCATGCCACACTTGCTTACCTTGATGTAAGTGTCAAGGGCTGGGTGGACACGGTTGACTGCTAGATGGATGGACAATGGCGTAGTGAACGGGAAGGTTGCCATGACCACGTGGCTGGGAGCAGGGAAGGAGAAGATCTTGAAGCCATACTTTTGGAACCGCTTGATCTGCTCTTCCGACGGCTTTGCATCTCCCTCGCTCAGGATTCGGCCTATGGCGAAGCGGCACTTCTCCGGAGGCACCTGATTGAGGGGGACAGACAGACAGCATCAGAAGGAGAGAGGCTTAAGACTGGCCAAAACCTCAACCTGCTGAGCATGGAGGCAGGAGACCACCACGAACCAGGGTAAATGCAACGGTCCAGCATGATCAGGCACACCAAACCAGGGGCCTGCTCCTAACCAAGACTGATCCAGGCCCAAACTGTCCACGCTCCTCACAGCCTAAGCTCACCACCCAGCGGGGAAGGTACTGCTCCCCTCCTTGGGGGGCAGAGGGACTTGTGGCAGAAAAGAACTAAACCCCAGCAGGCTGCTCACCCAAACCCGCCCTGGGTAACAGCCACTGCAGAAAGTGTCTTTCCTGACCCCCCATCACAGACCCTGCTGTTGAGACATGCTCACAGCCATCCCCATCTGCAGGACACTCCTGCGATTCTGGGAGGGGCTAAAAAGAGATGTGACCACAACCTGCCCAGCTTGCCTCTATCCCACCCCCAAGGAGGTCACCCTGCAGGGCCACCGGCGCACCAACAACCTCCTGAGAACACAACACACCAGCACAGGCCACTGGCACTAAGCCAGAGAGAAATCTAGAGGCTGCTGGGTCCCTCCTAAGTGGGCACGCTCAGTCCAGCACAGTTTTAGGAGTGGGAAAACTGAGGCATGTAAGACTTGCATGCAGGCACCAAGCTGTTTGTAGCAACACGAAGAGAAAAACATCCCCTTCCATCCTGGATCCCAACACCACACAAAACATAAAACATGCTCTCTTTCCTGATTTGGGGATGTCTCCCATTAAGACAGGAGGCTGCAGGGCTCTCAGCCCAGCAAGGGGGTGCTCAGGGCTCTGTTCCAGGCACAGTGACAGCCCACGGGACTCCAGCCATCTCCACACCAAAGCCAAACCAGGCCATAGCTTTCATTTCTGTTTTTTAACAAAATCCCACCACTCAAGTTCACATTTACCCATGGCACTAGGCAAGAACATGGCAGGGGGCAGGAGGGCCCAGGAACTGCCCCCCAATACCACCCAAGGACACAATGTGCCTTCCTACTGCTGAGATAAGAGCCCAGCTCCCTCCTTTAACTCCAGCCTTTGTCCCCAGCAGAGCTGGTGTTTTTTCCATCCCCAAAGAGATGTTCAGAGAAGGAGCCAGCAGGCAGAGACAGGGCTCCTTCCTCCCAGGCACACTACCTAAAAAAAGAATGCAGGAAGAACAAGGGGTACACAGGGCACCAAGGAAGGGGACACCATCTAAGTGTTAGTGCTTCCCTGCCACCTGCTCTCCAGCCTGCTGGATAACGAGACGATGTGGCAGCCAGCAACCAGGAGCAGCAGATGCACAAGTCTGGCCACCTTCTGCCAACCTCCTCTGGTGAGGGCTGGAGAACCAAAGTCTCCAAACTCCCACCACACAAGGCAGCAAAACTCACCAGGACCTGCCAGGACGCCTGACAGCAGCAGCAAGACAGGCAGACACCCTGCAGACACTGGCATCACGAAGCTGTCACGGGATGATGGGAGGCAGAGAGAGGGTGCAGGCAAGGCCAGCGTGTTACCACCTCCCAACCCCATGTGCCCACCAAGGGGATCTCCACTCTGTGCTCCCCAACCTCATCCCTAACTTTGCCTGTGCTAAAGCTCAGCCACATCTCCTCCTGCAGCATAACAACCCCACACCGCACTCCTTGCCCCTCCCTTTCCCTTAAACACCCTTTAATGTTGCACGGCAGGACCATCCCGGAGGGGAAACACAAGCAAATGTAAATAGGAAGGAAGAAAACAGACTGTCGGAAACAGCAGCAGCAGCCATGAGGCTGGGGACTGGCGTGCCTGATGGCTCACTCTTGCCCTCCTGTGCTGCAAGAGGGAGCTGCAGACAGGGCTGTGCCGAGCATCACTGCTTTGGGACAGGGAAGGAGAAGCAGATCCACCCCAGAGACAGCAAGAGGCAGCAGTAAAAGGCATCCATGGGGAAAGGCCCAGATGAAGCAAGGAGATAAGGGAAATCTAGATAAAATTCCTTTAAACACAAAATCTCCATTTACATCCTCAGCAAAAACAGTTCACCCCCAGCCCCAGAGCAACTGATGGAAGGACGCGAGCTGCTGGAGTGGGCAGCACCACTCGGGCCAGGCATGTTTGCTTCCTCCCTTCTCCTTTTAACTTTCTTTTTTGTAGCATGCAGCCCCGCAGGCACTTTCTCAAGGACAGAAGCAAGGCAGATTTGCCTCCTCCCCTGCCTGGCAAAGCCTGTCTCAAAGGAGGGAAGGAAATACTTTGGTTAAAACCAGCCTTTCCCTAACAAATTAATCATTTCGGGGTGGCCAGGTGCTGATCAAAGCCTCTGCTCCCTCAAGTGCCCTGACAGAGAAGTTTTACAAATGATTAGTTAATCTATTAATCTACAGCTTTGCCTATGGGGATAAAACCCATTCCTGCATTCAGAAAGCGTTTTGGCCTCATCCATCCAACACTTGGACACAGACTGAGCACGCAAACATGTGGACTGCAGGCAAAAGGCCCTAGCGCGTGCCTACAGCTAAATGTGAGCAGAAGCACTTGGCTGGAGCTGAGCACAAACCCGCCTGCCACATCCAGTCCTTGCTGAGGAGTTATTTTTGTTCCTGCCAGAGGTGGGAGAAGGAGGGAGAAGTCCTCTGGGCTGCTAAATATTAAATAAAAAGGGAAAAGAAAAAAAAAGTGCAAATTAATATTAATCTTGTCCATTAAAACACATAAAACATTGCTGGCAGGAATTCGGCAGCACTCAGGGAGCATCCTTGTGTGAATGCCGGAGAGCCAGGAGCCAGCGGGGAGCCCCGGGGACGCCGGTGATGAAGGCTGCCTTGAGGCCCTGTGTGACCCCGAGGCAGCCCACATGCCACAGGGCTCTCCCCGGCCCCGCTCCCAGCTGAGAGCCGGCACACGGCCATTGCTCTCCAGCTCTGGCATCCCCATCCACTCTCCTAGCAAGAGCCTCCTTTGGCCACAAGTCCGCCAGCACAGCAAATGCCACACTGGCACGTGCCGGTCATCAGCCCTTTCCTGCCACAGCACCAGGGGCATCAAAACCCTCAGGAGCCGGTGGCCAAGAACCAGGATCGAGGTGGCTGTCTGACCAGAGCCCGCTGGCACTCAGCCAGGGACCCTGTGGGACACAGCAGGCAGCAAGCACGTTCTGCTGCCTGATGACAAAAAGTCTATTTTTGGTGACAAGTCAACATTCGCAGTGGGGAGCCAGCTCCAGGCGGATCAGCCTCTGCCAGAAGGTGCTTGACCGAGGTCAGGAGAGCATTGAGAAGGAGAAGGAAGAGGAGGAGATCATCTCTTCCTCGCAGACAAAAGGCAGCCTGGGTGACTGATCCCACCTCACTGGGCCTCCAGGAACGAGGAGCGAGCAGCACACACCATCTCCCATGCCATCATGGCTACAGCAGGTACAAGCACCAGGGGCACCCCATGGGATGCCGGGTGCTCAGCACCTGAGCCAGCACACCAGACACGAGTGTTGCAGTCCCCCACTAAGCAACCCACCCAAAACTGGCCCCTTCTTCACCTGCCTGGAGGCAAGGCAGCCCTCTGCCCATCCTGACCAAGGACATCCTCACTCCCAGCACCCTGCCTGGCCTGGCCTGCTCATTGGTGAGACGCAAATCTCTGTGGGAACCAATTTAGGAGCCACAGATCAGCCCGTGGAAGGTCCCACCAGCATCCCAGCTGCTCTGGCAGACCAAGGTCTGACAACATGCTCACGTGTGTCAGGCGAGAGGAGGGTCCTGCCACCATGCAGAGCCCCAGGCACCACAGCTATGTCCTGCACAGCCCCGCTGTGTCCCAGCCACCACAGAGCCGATGAAGGCAGGAGGCTCAGGTCAATGTCACCTGCCCAATGTCATGAGCAAAGGCAGCCCTTCCAGAGAAGGGCAAGGTCTGTGGGGCTGCCTGCCAAGCCTTTGGGGGCAGGTTAGGCTCCCATCACAAAAGCCAACCACAACGGCCTCCAGAGCTTGGGACGCCTGGTCGCAGAGATGGCTTTGTTGGTCCCTGAGAGCTTCCAGCACCCTCCAGGTTCACTCCACACACATGCAGCACCCAGAGCCTTCGCTGTGCCCATCCTGAGCACCACCTGTCCAGCATGCTTCAAGAGGGAGGCAACTCGCCTGCCCAGCACCACCACCAGGATCTCCCAGCCTGACCCACAGGCCTGGGGCCACACAGCTTCCAAAATATCTAGAGACCCACACAAATTCACTACCATCCTTTGCGAAGGCCCCACCACATCCTGCCCCGTGCAAGGAGCTCCCCTCAGCTCATACACCAGCTGAAGGCACCTGTGACCCACGCCAGATCAGTAGCCAGTCCACAGGCAAGTGAGTAGAGAACCCTCAGCAGGGGGTGGAAAAAAGGCCTCCAGACCAGTAGCATGCTCCAGTCCGGACTGGGCACCAGCTGGGCCACCAGGCAGAGGTCCCAGTGTGCCTTGACCACAGCAGGCCAAGAGCTGTCTCCACCAGCTGAGGCCTGAATCCAGAGAAACCTCCCCTAGTCACCAAGACAGGTCTCCTTGGCCACCAGATGCCATTCAGCCATGCTAGCAGAGAAGGTCTTCCCTCCCAAAAAACCTGACTGCAAAAGGAGAAATAGCTGGCTTCCAAAACCCCGGATGGCCACCAGAGACCCAGAGACAAGTTCTGCACTTGCCTGCACAAGCCCCACTGCCTGCTCCAACCATAGGCTGAGGGCAGAGATGTGACAGAGGCAGGGAGAGGAAAGAGACAGGACCAGAAAGAGGAGGCAGCTTCATCCTGCACGGACAGCCCAACTTTCCAGGGTCATGTAGGAGCTGCTCCTTCCCAGCCTCACCTGGTGCTGCCAGGGAAATCGCTCCCCGTGCCAGCCGTGGCAGGAGTCACCACAAATATCCTTATCAGTATCTGTGGGCCTCAGCAGTACAAGCTTTCACTAGCCCACGCTTTGGCAAACAGAGAGGCAAGGCACAGTGCCCAAGCAGAAGGTCTGCAGGGCAACCACAGGCATGTCTACATCATATCCCTGGAGCAGGGCAGCACCAAGCGCAGATGCTGAGCCATTCTGTCAGCATCGACTGCCCTGCTCTGCCCCCAGAGATGCCAGGGGAAGAAGCAGCAGCACTAGGGTTCTCAACTCCAGAAGAGGACCTCGACACAAGGATAAGGGCACAAATTAGTGGCAGGGGAATTGGCCACTCTGACCATGTGGGCTCTAGCACACCAGGCACTCCCCATGGCTCCCATCCCTCACCTTCTCCAAACATGACACTTCTTGCAGAAAAAAATGTCCAAGGACGTCTAGCTGAACTCTGCCTCTGCCCATCTCATCGCAGGGAGGGGGAAGTCCTCTTTGCCACCCTCTTTCCCAGGCCAGGAAGAGGCACTGCAGTGTCTCTTCTCTGCCTCCCATGATGCAAAAGCAAAAACTGGAAGGTAAAGATAAGTCAGCTCGTCACAAAGACAGAAGGTGGCTGAACACACCAGGCTCCACTGAGCACCGTCAAGCTCAGTGCTTCCTCACCTCCGATATCTTCCTGTCACAGTCCACTCAGCACTACGTTTTCATGGACAAGTTCCCTCTAAGCAGGTCCAACCCCTGGGAGCACCATCTTGCAAGCAATGAAACAGGGTTCCTAAAACAGGACCAGTCACCCCCAGAGCAGATGCACTGGGCGAGAGCTATCAGCCCACTGTGCCCCACACCAGCCCCCAGCACATGTGCCCAAGCACACATGCACAGCTGCTGGCCACTCTGCCGTCCCTCCCCCCCACGGCATTCCTCCACGGTCACACTAGCTACTGCAGAATTACTGGGGAGCCAGGCTGTCTGCCACGGACAAATGCCCACATGCTGTTATTTGGAGACCCCAGTGCTACCTAGCATCAGCAGCCAGGCTCCTCATTCCCCAGCAAGTTCTGATGCACTTCTATTTGCTCCTTGTCCTGGACTGTACCCACCGGAATACTTAGCTTTGTCTGGCAGCCATCAGGCAGTGCACTTTCTGCTCACCTCTCAGCCTGAAGAGCATCATGGAGTAACTGTTTCATCAGCCAGGAGCCCTCAGCACGCATCACCTGAGGTTTCAGTAAAAACTCTCAGGGGATGAAAGGACTACAGGGAAGCTCAGAAACTCATGAGAGCACTAGAAACGAGAGAAGGAGTATGGATGAGGACAGAGCAAGCTGAAGAGATGATCTGCTTTCAACCACAGAGCTGCAAGTCCAGAAGGAGCCTTGGCTGCACTTCCTGCAGCCAGGGGATGTGACAAGGAATGCCTCACCTTGTGGTCATGAACATTGGCCTCTGCTCCACAACCAGATCCATTATCCTGCTGATAACTTGTTCAGCAGGAGCTATCAGGAGATAGCAAGCTTTGCTCACCCAATGCCTTCCAATTAGGGTTATCCAAGAAACCATCTGCTTTCAGCTCCCTTTCCCCACAGAGCATCCTCTGCTGATCTGGGAGACCTTGTGAACCCCAGTGCTCATCTACAGAGGATGAGCTGCAAGTGCCTGAAATACAGCCAGGGAGCATCCCGAGCCAGGAACCTGGGTGCTGACCTCAAGAGTTTGCCGGCCCCACCAGGCACACCTTACCGTGTGAGGGTTGTCGTAGTAGACACCAATGGAGCACAGCTTTGAAGAGATGCTGCAGCCATCCGTGAAGAGCTGCCCGGATTCACCATATGCGCCTACCCTGAACTTGTAGGCCAGCGTGATGTTGCCAACAGGCGGGGAGCCAGCACTCACAACCACCTCCGTGAAGAGCCCCGAGTAGACAACGAAACCAAAGACGGTCAGCAGCAGCAGCACGACCAGCGCGGCAATCAGCCCAAGGAGCACCCAGTCGGACATGACGGACACTTGGTGCTCCACGCCTCCTGATGCACTAGCAGCAAGAGGAGAGAAGAAAAAGGAGGGGAGTTAAACTAGCACTTGGACAAGCAATTGCCCTCTAAAGCTATTTATTTGCAGCAAAACACACCCACTTCCAATGCCTCTTATGCGCGAAGCTTAAAGACAGCGGAAACCCCTCAGAAACCTCCTGTATATTAGTCCCACATTGCATCAGCCTGTTCCAATTGGTCACCAGGTACAAATTATACTGCTTCAGGGCCTCTTGGGAATGAGGTGGTTATGGAGGGGGGATGGAGAGGCACTGTCCCCATTTCCCCAGAACCAGCCACACTGCTCATGTCCAGCCTTGCACCCAGGAGAAACAGAAAGCCACCCCGGGAGCCCACATCACCTAGCAGATCAGCAGATACACAGCACTGGGCTAAGGATCAGGGGACCATAATAAAATAATTTATCATTTATAGATACCAGATGCAACATTGTGACCAGCACAGCTCCTTTGTCAAAAAGCCTAGAAGCCCAGGCCTTTAATGACCCAAACAAGGACCATGCCAGTTCAGAGCTGAGCGCTACATCCAGATCCAAGCACCCAGAGAGGCTCAGAGGAAGCTGAAGACCCAGCTAGAAAAAACATCCCCAACACACTCAGGTGCAATGAATTACCGGTATTCCTTTCAGATGGCTTTTTTTTAAACTAAAAGAGCTTTTATAACCCCAGCCAAGGCTTCCTGTTTTGTTTGGTGTCTTTTCTCTCTCATGCTGACTGCAGGATGCAGCAGCCTGGCAAACGCCTCCTGCTCGTTTTCACCCACCAAGAGCAACCGCTCTGGGGAGTTGCAACCCAAAGCATTGCAGGAGAGTTGTTTGTGTTTTATTCTCCCTTGAAACACAGCTCTGGTCACAAGGACTGGTTGCGACGCTCCCCTGGGACTTTCACAGGAGCTAGGTTTGAAAGCGAAGGTTGAAGTAAACAATTCACCTTTACCTCTGTGTTATAAACACACTTTGTCCAAACAAAGTTGTTCATGGCAGCTGCTGCTTGCACAGCTTTACGGTAACAGAAAAACCACATCCTGGTAGGAACTGCGGGAGGCTCTGCTCTGCTTGACCCCAGTGAGCACGGGTACAGCTAAACCAAGCCTTGCAGAGCTGGCACCACCAGCCACACTTTTGGCGCCGCAGCAGTGCCAGGCCGGGCACCATCTCACACCATGGCCGTACTCACCTGAAAAACCAGCTCAGCCCAGAAACGGTTCACGACATCTGATCCACAGGAGTGTGGGATCCGCGGCGCTGCGGCAGGAAAAAATAAATGTCATTGCTTCCTTTCAAACTCACAAGGCCAAAAGCAAAACAGTCACAGCAGAGCACCCGAAAGGCGCCTCAGGGCTGCTCCCCAGAGGAGGCGGCGTCCTAAGGGGTGCCTTCTCCTGCAGGACCCCCCGGGCCCGAGATTTCTTCCCAAAACTCTGCGGCTGAACACACGGGCACCAAGAAACACGGAAATTGGAAAGGAAGGGCGAAGGAGGACGACGTCCTGCAGCCGCCTCTGCTGGCGTCTCCCACCCTGGGCCGTCCCCCGGCTCCCCCGGGACACCTGAGCCGCACCCGGTGCTGCTCCCGGGTGACCTCGCCATGGAACGCTCCGGGACCGATAGCCTGGCCGGAGCTATGCGTCCGTCCCGGTTCCCAGCAGCGCCTCGCCTCCTCCCTATAACCAAGGCAGATTTATTACTTCACATCACGGTTTGGGTGATTCTCCGTGAGCTGCCAGTCCAACACCCAGCCCGAGGGGCCTGAAGACTGCCGGACCCAGAGGAGAAGAGGGTATTTTTGGCGATTCTTCCCGGTTCCCGTGGCTCGTTCCCCGCCGGCGGCAGGCACGGGCGGTTTCCCACCTGCCCTCCTCACGGGCAGCGGGAGCGGAGCTCGCCCGGTCCCTGCCCGGCCAGGAGGCCGTGCCCCCCCCCACCCCCGCCCCCGGTGCCCATGCCCGGGCGGAGGGGAGGGCTCGACCCCAGGGGCCCCAACAAGCGCCCGCGGCGGGCGGCACCGGTCCGGCCTGCCAGGAGGCGCAGCTCTCGGCCCCGCCTGGCTGCGGGCAGGCGGCAGGCAGCGCCCTCAGCACCGGCACGGCCCGCAAACCCCCGACACCGGAACGGGGAGGGACCCGCCGAGCCGCCGCCCGG